TCAAGTACATCGACTACCCTGAACCCTAGACCCTAAACTCTAAACCTGGACTTTGTACTTGATGACTCTATGCACTTCACTCTGTGACAATATGACTCTATGCACTAGATTCTCTGTACTCAAACTGTGCACTTGACTCTATGACTTTATGTACTTCACTCTCTCACTTTAAATAGCGCTAAACTCTTCGCAAATGATGCTTTCGGGCCACATGTCTTCTAGCTTTGTTTGCTTGTTGTTGTTTGTTGTCTTGCTTGCATGTAAGTCTGCTTCTTTTAGTCAGCTAAACCAGTGCATTTCAACATGCCAGATGTTTTGTTATACTGGTCTATGTATACGTGTGAAATATGTTGATGGGTCTTCCGGGTTCAGCTGGGAACCGTCATAGGCTTCGCAGCATGCGTCAAGCCACGCCAGCCAAGAGTAAGCGAAACCTCAGCAAACCAGCCCTTGTGTGTCACCTTGGCTCACTCATCCATCGGAGAGCCAGTCACCACGCAAAGAGTCTATGACTATGACAAGCAGGCATAGGCCAAACAAAGCTCTTTGCACTGCCACAGCCCAACTTTCTTGCGAAAGCATGCAGGGCGTGCTGTCATGGGCCACGGACCTCTCACAGGAAAAAGAAGCGTGGTACCTCACGAAAGGCCTCACCGACGAACTATGCTGGGAGGTTCGCTGACTGGCCTAAGTGCTCGGACAGGTAGATGCTATCCAGGGTTCATGGATTCAGGGGTTCACCGGTACGAGATTTTAGAGCCCTGCTGAAGCAAAGCTGCCGTAAAGGCACAGGATCAGGGAAAGGACCTTAAAGCCCTGCGGCAGCAACCTTTTGGCCACAGAAAACGCTTCGAGACAATTTTGATGAACGAAGCCTTGCCCGGCCCCAACCCCAACCCCTCACACGACTAACCCCTAGGAGCACCCTGGTAATCCCGTTTACCTCTTCACAAACCCGAAATCCTAAATCCCAAAAGCCAACGCTCCCAGCAGAGTGTTAATCGGCTTTTTTGTACCCGCAGGCCTTGAGCCAGCGGAGCAGGAAGAACGGCTCGGAGGAAACGTCTTCGAAGTCTCTCTGAGACTCGGTGACCCTCAGCCCTTTTTGGAGCAGGGACTGCAATGCACTAATTAGCCCTGAATCCCTTCAGCCAAGCTCCAGACGCCAGCGCTTATGGCTGAGCACGCGAAGCTTGTTGCACTGTCTGCAACCACTGATCTGGGACTACTTGAAACGACACGACTTTGACGCGATCTCGATAAGCATGACGACTACAATCATACATCTCAGATTCATGAAGATCAAAAAGATCACCCGAAAGCAGAAACTGACAGGACAACCAGCTGCCACTGAATCGCACATAGCCAACTATTCCAAGAATATGCTCCTTCCAACAGTAGTCACAATAATATCGACTGTAACACTACCATCCATGCTCCCTGTCCAACCAAGAGGCAACGAGAAAATCACCTACAAGGTTGAGGTAAAGGCAGATAGCCCAAGACGCACAATGAATGAGTGCATGTTTCCAAACAGTCCATTCCGCATTTCTTGCAGCTATTAAACCCGATAATATACCCTGATAAGGACTTGTACAAGTATATCAGAATAAACATCCCTACAAAAGTAGGTTTTATAGGGTCCAGAAATCATGACGAGACTTTAGCATTCTCGAGCACAGAACTGAAGCCATTCGTTGTGTCGTCTCAGGATTCAGGCGTGGGTCTTCGAGTTCGAGTACTCTGAATACCGCACGTACAGAAATTTCCCTTCTGGATAAGGGATTGGTAGCGCCGTGAAAGTGACGCTAAAACAAAGCCGGGGATTAAAATGTCTCACATTCCCTGCGAGAAATTGGCTATAGCCACGCGGACTGAGCCGGGTCAGCGCAGAAGGCGGCCCTGCTGTTCTCCTTTACGGTCTCCCCATATGTCTCCTTCTTGATCACTTCCGAGGACACGCTGGCAGATGGTGGCATATTCTCGAGCGCCGCCTTAGCAGAGGTCATCGAAGATGTGGGCATCAGCTGTGACCGCCGTGTCAAGACCAAAGAGGCCTCGCCCACCTCGGAACCCACAGCTGTCACGATCTGCGCTGCCATTCGCAGGTCGTAGATGGAGAGGTTCGCGAGTACGTCTCCCATGGCATCTTGGCCCAAGTCCTGGATTCTCTTGGACAGCAGGACGAGCTTCTCGCTGAGAACCCCCGGCTCGGGGATCGCTCCAAGCGCGAGGAGAACGCTCTCCTGAGAACCTCCCATGACGTTCAGTCGGATCAATGCAGAGAGGGTCACACAGAGCATGAGGAATACCACCATGTTGAGGAAGAGCACGATGCTGATGACTGCACTCGTGAGCGATGCCATCGTACCCTCGTCCAACTCCGGCGCAAAAGCTCCTAGGATGGCCATCATCAGGATCAAGCAGAAGCTGATAGTCGCGTCGAAAGCATTGAGCGCAGGGAGCTTCCATGGCCAAGTTATGAGCTGCACGAACACGTAGATAAGCATGACGGAAACGATAATCAACATCTGCACGTAGGGGCTGTCACCGGCGGCCACGATGGCAAGCGAAAGACACAAACCACGAGGCATCATGAAGGTTCCATACCACCAGCAGTCGGTGCGGAAGCGGAAGAGCAGGAAACGCGTGGCGGCCAGAAACCATGCATCTCCCGCTGCTGCTCGCTTCGGGGCAATGACTGCGGCATAAATTGCCAGGACATAGAAGGCGATCATGCCGCACAGGACACAGACGCCTGCGATAAACATGGGCGTGTGCTCGGCGCTCTCGAAGCAGAAGATGCCATTGTGGTCCAGCATGCCACTCTTGCCGTTGGGATGGGAGTAGCACATCATCGGGGAGAGGGCGATCTTACTGTAGATCGTGAAGCTGACCTGCATGAACTGCCCCAGGGTGCTGATCAACTTACCGCTGTCGAATTGCCACTTTGTTGGGAGGACCTTACTGAGTAGGCTGCACACGATGAGCCAGAGAAGAGCGCATGGCAGCATGGCTGCCGTCATGTGGTAGCCGGTCACCGGCGAACTGGAGACACAATCGAAGCCAAGCGCCTGCAGGTCCAAGGTGAAGAGGTTCATTAGATCAAATATCCATTGAAGCTCGGCTGGCCAGGAGAAGGAGATGTAGCCGACGATGCCCACGTTCTGAAGCATGCTGATCGTCATAGCCAGCGCACACGAGGTGGCCAGCATCGTGATGGCCTTGGCGGTTTGCTTCATGTTCATCATGTAGTAGAGTGCCGGAATGGTGACCGCGCCGACGATGCCGGCAAGGAGCCAACCACCAAGGCTGAATGGAGTGCAATCTGCACAAACATCTGTATTCCACGCTTGGCCAGCCGGGCACTGGGTGCAGGGGACGCCGATACGTCCCCCGGCACATGTCCCAGGCAAGCCACCAGGACACGACTCGCTAGGAAGGCATCTGTAGACATCGAAGGGCGCGGCAGTGTCCGTGAAGAAGCCAGGCTGCACCACGGCAGTGCGAGCTCCGTTGCATGTCAAACCCTCGGAGCACGGAATGCATGCACCTGCCTCGTAGCGGGTGTTGCCACTGCAGACGACACACTGTCCCTCGTACAACTCACCCTGGCACAGGCAAGCATCCGAATCGAGAGCACCTCTAGAGAAGGTCGTCAGCCCAGGCGGGCACTCGACACAAGTTGCCAATCCTTTCTGTGCTGCATAGCGGCCAATCGGGCATTGCATGCATCCAGTAGATTCTGACTCGTTGGCAAAGAACCCCTGACTGCACTCCTCACATCCATCTGCCCCAAGCACATTGTTGTAACTCCCCGGGGCACAGGGATGGCATGCTGCCATGCCTGTGACATTGGTGAACGTGCCCACACCGCACGGCTCACATTCAAGCATCCCCGCTGACGCATACCTGCCCGCCTCACATGCGATACACCCAAGCTGCACCGAGAAGACGGTCCCTGCGGCACACTGAGCAATTCGGTCCGATGGAACCCAAGCAGCACCCAATGCGCAAGTGCCGGTGTTGCATGGAACCCGCCGGGTGTCGTAGGGGCTCCAGACCAAATCCGCCTGCCACAAGATTCCAGAGCTTGA